TGCTAAGTATGACCTTGCATGACCAAGTTAGACTGTGACTCTCAGAAAGAAATACACCTGACAGAGGGACCCCAGACACGCCCACATGCACACACATGCACACACAAGACAAAAACCAAGATCTCACAAAGTAAAACTTACCCTTATTACATGGGATGCACTTTGATGTTTCCTATTCTCTTCTATTTTAATTTTTATTTATTTATTTATATGTTACATAATCTCCATGCCCAACCTGGGGCTCGAACTCACAACCCCAAGATCAAGAGTCACATGCTCTACTGACTGAGCCACCCAGGCGCCCCCTAATTATTTTTCTAGATGGTTACACCCCACTAAATTTATTTCCACACCTACTAATGGATTGCAGCCTGCAATTGGACAGATCGCTGTACGAAGCTATGCTAAGTCTTTAGCACTTAAAAACTTACCGAGCATGACGACGAGCCAGGTGCTAAACTTGACTAGAGATCTCAAGAGAAATGAGACACGGCCCCTAGCTTCAGAGATTTTGCATTCTAGGGCAGAAGGGACGGAGAAAGAAATGACTCACGTTATTTGCACCTCTGTAATGTACCAAGCTCTTTGCCAGGCACGTACAAACCTGATGTCACTGACTTTCAGGACAAGTGTATGAATTAGGCCAGTGCTTCTCAAATTCGAAGGTGCATGTGAATCACCTGAGGGTCTTGTTACAGTGCACATCCTGTTTCAGTAGGTCTGGAGCAGGGCCCCGAGATGCTGTATATCTCACAAGCTCCCAGCCAGTGCCTTTGCTATTAATCCAGGGATCCTACTTTGAGTGGTAAGGAGTCATTTATTTTTAAGCTGATGATTGAGTTCTTATATACCAGGCATCATGCTCAGCACTCAGGATGTGAATGCAGAGGTCTGTGGTTGCAAACTTTGTGCTCACAGCCAAGGAAGTGGGAGCACTTGTGCTCAAGATGCAGGGAATGGAAATAATAGTAGATGGGACCAGGGTGGGGGAAGGGAGCCAAACCAAGGCCAGGCTCCAGGGCCAGTTTCCAGGGCCAGAGGGCCAGGCTCAGGGACAAGTGGGTAATTTTATGGGCAATCTGGCTGTCATGAAGGGCATGATGTGGCGAGCTGGTAGTCAGGGTAGGCTCACGTTTGTCCCTCAATTCCTTGCAGCCAAGAAGCCTCTGACTCACAGGGCAGGTCACATCCAACACATGCCCCATGAGGCAGCGCTTCCTGCAGTAGCCTTGGACTCTTCACTGGGTAGCTTCCAAATGGATCTTTGGGGACAGACTTGGCAAATAGCACAGCGGGTCTGGCCCACAAAGGGCTCCACAGCCTGGGATCTGTCAATCCGGACACCTGCCCCTCAGCAAGACACTCAGCTTAACAATCAAAGCCACCATGGCTCTGAAATGCTCAAATATTTATTCCACTCACTCTCTGCAATTTGTTTTTGTATGATTTCTAGAGCTGGAGGGTTTCCAACCCCAGGGAACAGCTTAGTTAGACCATTGCTGACTGCAAAAAGATTCAGTGCCCTTCAACAGACACAAATGAAGGCCAGCCTTGTCCCATACCCTGTGGTAGGCACTGGGAGCACAGAAATTTGCAAATGTGAAAAAGAGGTCCCAATGTGGTCATCCAAGCTACGTGGCCCCTACTGCTGAAAGGTGTCTCATAGGAAACCACATGGCCAGTAACCATAGGAAATAACACTCAGACTCCATAATGAAGTAAAGTCTAGGACCCGGATGGGTCCATCCTTCAGATAGGCAAAAAGCTAAAAAACAGAAAAGATTTGTTGTTGGAGATGTTATGGTGAAACGGACACCCCCTCATACACTGTTGGGTCGTTTAAGTTGTAACGCTTTTATGGAGGCAATTTGGAAGTTTCTAGCGAGAGGTGGGATGTGTTCCATGGCCTTTGACCCCGTCATTTCCTTCCAAGAGCCCATCACTGAAGAAAGAGGCAAACGGAGGAAGCGGCATAAAAATCAAGAGGTCTGTGTTCTGAGCACATGTGCCTTGGGACTCCCATTGCAAGTCATGAAGGAATTGATAATCTGGACGTTCTGTAGGACAAGAGGGGACAGATCTAAAGAAATGTTGTTTGCTAACTGTTTTCTCACCCTACTCTTGTGCCTGCCAGGCAGGTACGCCTCTGAAAACCCTGGATTATATCCAGCCTCCACCCTTGAGGGGCTTATAACCCAGTACGGGAGACAAGTGCTTACATAAAAATAATGGACCCGCAGCTGAGTGGGATGCATTCTGTAATGGGGGGACAATACCAGGAGCCAGTGCTTATCAAGGTCCCCGCTGTGTGCCAGGCATTCCATTTGCATGATCTCGACTGAGCCTTTCTAAGAACTCCGTGGGCTAAGTGATAGTATTCCCATTTTACTGATATGAAAACAGAGCTATGAAGAACTTAAGTAGCTTGGCCAAAGTCTCACGACTAGTAATTGGCCGAGCAAGTCAAGATTCTGGCTCCAAGTTGGCTGACTCCAAAACCAGCACCCTCCCCATGATAATATCGCAGTCCTCCCGGGCTTTCTCACAGAGGTGCCCAAATTCAGATAACTTCGTGAGCCACCATGAGAAGCCACTGCCCTGGGGGCAGGGCTGTCTCTATTTTATATGTTTAGCCAGGACCCTTAATTGGATTCCGGACTTAATTTGTACATCACTCAGAACACAGAGGCACCCTAAGAGAGCAAACCTTGTGTGTACAGCGGGCACACAAGGAATCCCTATTTATTTATTCCTTCAGAATGACGGAAAGAGAGATGACATAGTGGTTAAGCATATAAGCTCTAGACCCAGACCGCCAGGGTTTGAATCTCAGCTCCCATTTACTAGCTGGGTGACCTTGGGCATGTTACTTAACCTCTCTGTGCTTCAGTTACCAACAAATACCAAGTTTTGGTGAACTAGATGAATTAATATTTGTGAAGCCCTTAGAACGATGTCTGGCATCGAGGGGATGCTATTTGTTAATGCCTCGGTAGCCGGTGGGAAATTTCATCTTTATTTTCCTATATTTATATAGGAAATAGATTAATTTGGATAAAATTCGACTACATTTATTTAGATAAAAATACATTGATGTTTTGGGATGAGATCACACTGTGCCCTTCCCTCAAAGGTCATGCTCAAATAACGAGACATGCCCCACTAAGATACCTTTCAAAGCGAGGGGTCTTATCCACCAAAGAGCCTCTGTTTTGTTTAGTATCATCATGGATGCTTGGATGTGGATTTGGACAGAGAAGGTGAATTGCTCCTCACACTAAAGGGATAAAGAGTTGAATAGGAATCCAAGCGAGGCCAGACACTCAGCTTGGGTGCTAGATATGAGATGCAGTCAGAACGTGGGCTCAGTGGTGTCCCAGCTGAGGAACTTGGGAGAACAGAAACACCCACTACAGACAACCAGGGGGAGGACGTGACCAGCTTAATGTGCCCCTCTGCCCTGTGACCCCACAACTCCTCAGTGAAGTTGATCATTTCTCCCACATTCTTGGTGTGATCAGATCTCTGCAGAAATTGGTGTAGGGCATGGGTTCCGACTCAGGGTCTGGGTGGGGGGAGCACAGAGAGGCTGGGGGAACTGACATCTGGGTCCTAGCCAGGTAAGGTGCTCACTGGTGGCTTGCCATGTGGGAAAGCTGCAGGTCCCCGTGGTGACTGCTATGAGAACATCACATGGTTGGCGCTCACCTGCTGGGGTTGATGAGGTAGCCTCTTGGCCACAGGGATGGGAGCCCCCACTCTGTTCCTGATGTCGCAGCGGTAGCCCTTCACTAGAGGAACTCCTGGGCTGGGTAACTAATTTGCTTAAACTAAGTGAGCAGACACCCAAAATGAGTGTTCCTTTTGCCTTGGGCTGAGTTGAGAATGGGTGCAGGCAGTGGGAAGGAAAACAGGATTGGAAGGAGGAAAAAAAGGAACATATACTCTGTATTCCTGTATAAGCTAAGTTGGGTAACAAAGAGATCCCAAAATACGGTCATTTCTGGTTTGTTTGTTTTTGTTATTTATATTTTATTATGTTTACTGATTTATTGTCGCTCGCTTTTGTAAGAGTTCAGAGGTGAGTAGTCTAGGCTGGTGGAGCAACTCTGATCCACACAGTCATTCAGGAAAGAAACTTCCTTCCATTTTGCTCTGTGTAATGGTGTTGCCCCACCCATCCAACATTCACCCACGAGAAAAGGAAAGAGGAAAGGTACATGGCAGGAAATTTCCTTTGAAGCAAGTAATGCAGAGGTCCCCACGGCAACCGCCCACCAGAGGGCCCCTGGTGCCCTCCAACGACCGCTGACTCAGACCAAAGCCATCCAACTTGTCACAAACTCCCCCATGCATCCCGGCCCATGGTATCCAAGACAATCTCCTATTACTGTCCACTCATAAAACCAGTGACCTGTATCACGAATACCCCAGACAGGGCTCCAGCCTAATTCAGAAGCCTCGAAATTCTCCAGCAGGCATTCCAAGACTTCCAAGGTCAAAAAGCCTAAGGTAACTTCACAGAAGAGCCAGGACTCCTCCAGGAATCTGGCCAAGCAGCCCCTGGAAAAGCCCCAAGCCCAGCACTTTTGAGCTTAGTGCCTCCTGCCACTTTGACCTCTGCCCCCTCTCACCAAAGTGGCTACAGGATCCAGAGCTCCAGTACCCTTACCCATCCCCAAGGCCACAGCATCGCCATCCCTGAAAACTGCCCAGCCGAGCTCAAGTTGATGGGTCAGTCATGTATACCCAGGAAGAGCCTGAACCTGACCAAGAGTCCTCCCATGCAGCTAGCCTCCCCAGTAGCCAAAAGCCAAAAGGGCAAGACCCAGCATAGGAGTGAGAAGCCCGTTTCTGCATTGGCCTGTTTCTCCTCAACCCAGACCCAGCAGCTCCTGGGAGTGATACTTCCTTTTCAGAATTTGACTCAGCAATGATTTCTCTCTCCTTTTTCTCTCTTTCTCTCACTCTTCCCTACTCCCCCCCCTTCCCCCCCGCAGCCAACCCCATCAGCCTCTCCTTTGGTCACTCACAGATTCTTCCCACCTTGGAAGGTAAGGCAGAAACTTCTAGTTGCCTATACGACATCAATCCACCCCTTATTCCTTCCAAAAGAATTCTGATAACGCCGGGAGTGACAATATGCCTGGCTAGAAAAACTGTATTTCCCAGACTCCCTTTCAGGGAGAATTCTGGCCAATGAGATATGGAAATAGAAGTTGTTGGATAAGGTTTCTGGGAAAGCTCTCTGCAAGGGGGCTGGCTCAGATGATAGTCATGCTTTTGCTCCTGTCTCTTCCTTCCTGCCACTTGGATGGGAGAGCAGCGGCTGCAGCAACCACTTGTGACCATGAGATGACCTTGACATTGAAAGGCACATGCTAATGATGGTGGGGCAGAAAGCCAGAGGAACTTGGATCTCTGCTGACAATGCCGAGCTGTCTTTCTGACTCTGGACACGTGCCTCCAGATTTTTTTTCATGTGAGAGACAATGCTTTATCTTTATAAAGCACCATTAATTGGATTCTCAAGCAGGGACAATTTTGTCTCCGAGGGGACATTGGGCGATGTCTGGAGATACATTACTCGGTTTGTCACAACGTGGAGGAGGAGTACTCCTGGCATCTAGTGGGTAGAGGCCAGGGACATTGCTAATCACCCTATAACATACAGGATAGCCCTCCTTCCGCGCCCCGCCCCCCACAACACACAGAATTATCTGGCTCAAAATGTCAATGGCGCCAAGGCTGGGAACCGAGCTCTGTAGGTACAGAAGCCCAATTTTTAGCTGGGCACAGGGCTGCCTGGAATCATGACCGCGTGTGACCAAGATCTGGCCAATGCAATATGAGTGACTTCTGTATCATGCCCTTAAAGGAAGAAGTGTGCTGGGAGGACCCCGCACCCCCTATGATGTCACAGAATGAGCCCCCACACTAGCTGGGATTTTTGCCTGAGAGAGAAAGGCAAACTTTCATCTTGTTAGAGCTGAAATTATTTTGAGTTTTGGTTACAGCTGTCAAACCCTTGTGCCAAGCAGCACAAGGTAATGTCTCCCTCACTCTTGTACATTCAGAGAACTTCTGGTCTCTGGCTGAAGCCCTCTGGAGCGGCTGAGTATCTGCTTTGTTTTGCTAGCAGACCCTGAAGGATGGGAAAGCGCTTTTTAACGGCAAGGCGTCACCACCCCATGGCATTTGCTCTGTTAGCTTATGCCCACAAGTCATCTCTATTCGAGGACGTCAGTTCATCACATTCCCAGACTTTGACTCAGCTCCATTAAGTCTTTGCTTACAGGGCCTCTAGTGGTCTCTTTAGGCACAGAAACAATCTCCAGAATACAGAATAGGTGCACATTTCTGGAATTTTAATCTGTCATCCCAGGGAGACTGAAATGAAGGAGTAGGTGCCCAGCCTCTGCTGATGGGTTTGCTGTCCCGGCTGAGCACATCTCGGTTCCCTTGTTCTCTCGTCAAGCTTTGACAGGAGGCTGCGGCTGATCACCCGGATGTCATTATGATCCCCATGGAGTCATGTCACCCACCCTGTTTCTCGCAGTCCGGGGGCCATGTGGTATGTGTCTGGGACACATTGAACACAATCAGAGGGGCAGTGGAAAAAAAGACTGGCCTGGATATTAAGATTATGTGGTTTCTTACTCCCAAACCTGCCTTCAACTAGCTGCGTGATTCTTTCTGTTTGCAAGTGGCAACACGTCAAAGGACTTGAGGAGAAGAACAGGGAATTTATTGGCTCCTGTGACTAAGTCCAAAATCAAGGTATGGCTGGATCCAGGGACAATATTCACTGTGTTTCTGTATCTTGGACACTTGCTTCTTTACCATCTGCACGGCATGCATATGCTGGACACACCTTGTTCTAGACAACCCGATAATATGCCTCAGTTCCGAGTCACCTTGCCTTGGCCTGCTGCTTCCTTTGTCACCCTCACTCCTCAGGAGAACTTCTCCAGATGTGCTTTTCAGGTACAAACCGCCCATCCAGAGTCTACACCCCTCATCCCCTCCTTTATCGGGCTCTCACCCCCCGGGCCACCATACACCTGCTCTAATCACCCCAGGACCAGGTAACAAACAATCAGGGACAGCCCCAATGCCCCAGAGTCCATTGAAATTATTCAAACCTGCCTCACCTGTTCCTTCCCACGGAAACCACAATAAAGACTCTTTTTTTTTTTTTTAAAGATTTTATTTATTTATTTGAC